ATGTTGATTTCTGAGTTTCCCGCAAATGTTCATTGGGGGGGGGGGGGGGGAGAGAGAACTCTTTGAATCTGCCAAAGCAAAATCAGCAAAATCTTCCAGCAACTGAAAGGAGAAGCTGCAGCAACGAGGGAAAACTAACATAGAAAGAGTGAGAGGAGAAGGGGAGGGAAGATTGATAGATAAGACAGGAGGGAACTTTGACAGTGAAGGGGGGAGAGGGAAGCAAAGGTGGGGGAAATGCCCCCTCCCTGCAAAAAAACTTGCGGGTCTTCTCTTGTAACTTTATAACCCCCCCCCCTTAGTTGTCCCTTGATAAACTCTAGCTTCCCTAAAATAGGATACCAACGTCCGTAGAAGGCGTCCGAATAATTGGAATGTGTAGTATAAGCCAGTGAGCTGGAGATCTTATCCATAATTAGATGGTTCCAAATGTTGGAGTACCAATTTCGTAGGTCAGGTTTCACATTTTTGTTCCAGTTCAAAGCTATGGTTGTTTTTGCAGCAGAAATCAGTAAGGTAAGTAATTCTTTGTTATAGTTTGTTATCGGAACGTCGGACCAATCATTCAGTAAGATGTTTGTCGGTGACCATGGTATCTCTATTCCGGTTAGCTGAGCAATCTCCTGGATTATGTCTTTCCAGAAAGCGGTTATTAGCGGACAGTCCCACCAACAATGAAAATAAGTTCCCAAGTGCCCACAGTTCTTCCAACATAAGGGTGAAATTGATTTGTTTATTTTACTTAATTTGAGTGGAGTCAGGTACCAACGCGATATAATTTTAAAATTTTGTTGCCTTATGTTGATTGACTTTGATGTGGAAGCATAAGAGGTCCATACTTTATCCCAAAACTCATCATTTAAATTCGTCTGGAGATCTTTTGCCCAAGCAGCTGAATACGTAGGCAATTTATGGGGTTGCGGATCAATTAGTATATTGTAGATTTTGGAAATCAAACCTGTATTTTCAGAGAGCGGTTGGACAAGCAATTGTTCGAAGTTTGAAAGTGGCTTTGTACAAGAATTTCGAATCTGTGGTTGGGAAAATAAATGACGCAGTTGCGTATATTCTAACCAAGGTAAGTTGCACTTAGTTTTTTTATCCAGTTTGGTTTTTTCTAATAGTTTTTGTTTTTGGGTTAAGTCGTATAGGGTAATCAGATTGGCCTTTTTCCATCTCGAAAAAGTGTTAGGATCTTTGGCTGGGAGAAACCAGTCCTGACCAAAGTAAGTAGACGCTAGGGAGTTGTCCCTTTTCTAAACTGAAAAGTCCCAGACTCTTCAGCCTTTTCTCACAGGGAAGGTGCTCCAACCCCCTAATCATCTGGTTGCCCGGCTCTGTATTTTCTTCCAGCTCTGCAATGCCCTTTTGGAGATATGGGGACCAGAACTGAACACAGGAGTCCAAATGAGGCCGCACTCTATGTCTATACAGGGGCTTTACAATATTGGTTGAGCACCAGTTTGGGGCATTGAGAGCCAGTTTGGTGTAGTAGTTAAGTGCAGGGACTGTAATCTGGGAGAACCGGGTTTGATTCCCCACTCCTCCACTTGCACCTGGCTGGATGACCTTGGGCAAGCCGTAGTTCTGATAAGAGCTGTTCTTGAAAAAAAGAGCAGTTTCCGTCAAGAGCTCTCTGGGCCCCATCTACCTCACAGGGTGTCTGTTGTGGGGAGGGGAAGGGAAAGGAGTTTGTAAGCCGCTCTGAGATTCCCTTGGGTAGTGAAGGGCAAGGTAGAAATCCAATCTCTTTTTCTTCTTCTTCTTCTTCGTTGACCCTTTCATTGAGCTATCCACCACGACCCCAAGGTAAAAAACCCTCTCAGTTTCAGCAAGTTCAGACCCCATTAGCCTGTACTTGAATTTGGGATTTTTTGTCCCCATCTGCATCACCTCACACTTACCAGCCCTGAAATTCCTTTACCACCTTGTCGCCCACTCACCTGGTTTGTGGTGATCCAGGCTTGGGTGGGTTTATATTCAGATTTTATCCCCTGGAACCTCTTTATTAATTGCTGTTGGGAACCCCCCCGCAGTGGGGGAGGCAGGAACTGGTCTTGGGGGTGGGAAAATCCTGTGCCCCTCCCGAACTTTGTCAGAATAGGATGGGGAGGGGGCGGCTCGAGATCCAGTCTCCGAACATGATTGTGGTTGGAGATCTGAGGATAAATTGGAAGGGAGGGGGGCTTAATGCATATTCCCTGACAGGGGATGAGGGTATCTGGGAGCGCTGGGTGCCCACAGGGTCGGCTCCAGGGTTTTTTGCACACTAGGGGAGGCTACATTCTGGTGCCCCCTTCCCATGCACCCACCAATTTTCAAACATAAATGCATTTTAGGAAATAATAACAATGATAATAAACATGAGAAATGGCTTTGGTTTAAGTCTAACAAACTGTATTGCAGCATAATTATTCCTGGAGCACAAGGGTTTTCAGAAAGCCATACACTCTTTTCCAATCTCACTTTAGTGCCAGTTCCTGTCCTCAAATTCACAGAGAAACCCAAACACTCTCATGTGGCAAATGCAAGCCATTGCCAGTGGTTTGAATGCACCAACTCACACAGCAGGACCAGAGCTTCCAATTTCAGCACTGGAGCTAGGGATGCCAGCCTCCAGGTGGGACCTGGGGATCCCTGGAATTACAGCTCACTTCCAGTCTACAGAGATCAGTTTCCCTGGGGAAAAAATTGATGTTCTGGAGGATGGACTCTATGGCATTGTGGCCCACTGAGGTCCCTGTCCTCCCCAGACTCCACTGGGGTGGAAAGAAAGCAAATAGATGGGGAGAGAAGGAAGGGGGAGGGGGAGGAGCTGGGGAAAGAAAGAAAGTCCGGCTGCAAGGGAAGCAGCCTGGAGTGGGGTGGAGCAGCTCCGCAGCCTCTCCTTTCCAGCTCTCACACAGCTCAACAGAAAGGGAGAGAGAAACAGAAAGAGAGAGAGGGACAGAGAGCGCAGACACACACAAGCCAGTGAGCCCAGGGTTTTCTGTATCCTGAAGCAAGGTGCTCCGTGCAGCACAAGAGTACCTGGGGCTCGCTTTCTCCTGGGTGGCTGCAGCCCTGGGCCTGGGCTTCCACCCACCCCCACCTGAAACAAGCTCCCCACTCCTTACACCCCAACCAACTTACCCTTCTGGCTGGTAGCACGTGCTACCTCCACCTCCTCCAAGCCTGACAGAGGGCTGCTGGGAGCTGGAGGAGAGGCTTAGGCTAGTGTTTAGGTCCCCTGGCTGCCGATCCATCCCCAAACGAGTATAAAAAAGTTTCTTTTAAAAAAACCCCTTCCACTTTCAAAGCGGGGAGGGGGACGCAGGGGGGAGGGGTTTGCAAGGCTGGTTCTGTTCCTGACCCCGCCCTGATGATTCAGATTTCTGAGCTTCCCGGAAAGCATTCCTTG